AGAATCAAAAGAGATATCTAGAAGCGTTGGTTTACGGCAAAGAGACTAAACTATGTCGGATGAGTGGTTAAGTTTTAGAATAATGTATGCATGCGCACACGTATTTATCTGGACCCTGTGTACAGATGAGAGTACGTTATTTAAAACAAAAATACTCCAAGCAACGGGTATTATAATGATAACAGAAAAATGAAATGCAAAGTGGCTTAAATAACTAAAGGCGTTTTCTTTTCTCGAAAAAATGTCACCTTCTTATATGGCAACATTTTAAAGAAAGAGCACGCAATATGAATGTGATGATGCTGAGAGAAGAACACGAAAAGTTGACAGCCCTAGCGCAGGGCCGAATTTCGAGATAAGAGAACGCCATAAGTACGTATTTGGATGCCTCGCTCGTTTATGTAGATATATATTTATGTATATATTTCAAGAATCTGCTTGCCAATGTGGTGTGGATATTTTGGAGTGGAGAACGACGACTTCTAAATAACAAATTGGCAAATTATTTTGTTTAAAACCTTTTGTTTATTAAAATTTCCACCTGACACTTTTAATTACGTTAGCTCTGATCCAATACTTTTCGAGTAAAATCCTGTAAAAATGTCACAGAGCAAAATTACTCAAGTGAGAGTAAAAAGTGAGTAGCAACAAAAAGTATGGGAACAAAAAAAATAAGCATTTTTCCTGTAAAAACGTCAACCAGTGACCGCTTGACACTTTTCACGATTTTACCGGAAGAAAAATTTCGGTTAAAATCCTGCAACTACATTCTCTACACAACTCTCCAAAAATCGTTCACATTTACAGGATTTTGGAGGAATTTAGAGTACGGGATCATTTTTCCTGTAACTTCCTGAAAGTTCGTGTAAAACCTGTAAGTTCATGGAGTACTGCATCAGAGCTGCTATTATTCACCCGCACAACCGGAAACGAGTCGAACCCAATACAATTTTGCGACAGTTCCGTTTGAGGTTATTTCTTTCGGTTACCGGTGGCTATCTATGTTGGTGTATTTTCTTTAAAAACAAAGTAATACTGCTTTAACTTGAATATATATCGAACAATTTTCAACCGATTTTAAGCAATGAAATGAGAAAAAACAATATTTCTCGATATACGGTCATAAAGTAGTTGATTTCATATTCTGAATCAGTGATGCAAGAAGACTATTATTTTTACACTATGATAATTTTTTACTTGAATGTTCAAATGTACAGCACGTTTTTTGCTTTAATTTTCGCAAAATTTGCCACTTAAAAGGTGTAAATTGCGCGCACAGTAAAATTGAAAGATTTTGTAATAGCCGGTCGGTGCATGCTTGCATTTTACAGCTATTCGATCACAATTGCAGTTATAACGTGTTCATAATTATACAATTTCTTTATATGCGAGAAATTCTAGCAAAACAGTGATGTACATACATATGTATGTACGTAATTACATACATAAAAAAAATCGCCCTGAGCGATTGCGAGATTGCTTTCTCGAAAAAACTGGTTAAATCTGCTAAAAGCTTCATACGGTGTAGCAGCTAAGACTTAGTTAAATATCCTAAGAAAAATTCAATGTCACATAATATGCTGAAATAGGGAAAATAGCCCTAAACAAATTTGATTGATATTTCTGTACTTAACTCTGCTCTAATTTTCCTTAGAACTGCCAAACAAAATAAATTTGAGATGATAAATTTAATTTATTGAGTTAAATTTTTATGATAAAATAAAACATAACAAAATCCTTGTTTATGTAATAAAAGTTGAAGTTTTATTTAGAAAAAAAGTATGTATATCTACATAACTAATAATGGTTTGTAGTCGTTTGCTTTTTCTTTATTTTTTTCTATTTTACTTTAATGCTAAAATTTCAAAAGTAAAATATTGTTGTTTTCATTATATGATATACGTATGCATGTATGTATAAAAAATATTCAATACAAACAAAATAATAATTAATGCGCAGTGTTGTTGCTGTGATTGCCACTTACAATATACATATACTCAGGCCTTAATGCAATATCAATAAAAAATACATAGATGCTTATGTATACAAATTTTTATATTGTATATAAACAAATTACAAAAAAGCAGGAAACTTATACATTTACATACATATATTTCAATGAGAAGGACGAAAGCGGTATATTTAAATTTGTATTTTGGATGCACATATGAACATATGAACCTATGAATGTATGTATGTATGTATATATGGTTGAATGAATGTTTATTTATAAAATGTTAAAATATGTATCTATGCATGCGAAAGCATTGATGTACATATTTTGAATGAGTGAAACACAATGCTCACAATGATACTTAATATATATATTAGATTTTTTTTTAATTGTAAACATAGCATATGTACATAGTTTAGTAAGGCTAAGTCAGTATGAAAGTCAGCGCATTCTTTTTTTGGAAGATTTCGAAAGTAAAACCTCAACTTAGTGGTAGCCGCTTGCAAAAAATATGTCGTATATGTGTGCATACATACCTATACTTACATTTGCATGTATGTATCTATATATATGTATGCAGTTAAACATAGGTTTAGGTGTTAATTGAGTTGAGGTGAAACCTTCAGTTTGGTTTAATTAGATTTAGGGAAGTGCTAAAAATATTTTAACGCTAAACTTTAAACTTTTGGATGAGACGCAATGAAATAAATATTTTGCGAGTTGTATGTGATGATGGTGGACCATTAGTTAGTAGCTTGTTAGGTTTTTATTTTGTTGCAAAAAACTGCTTTTCAATGGTCGTATGAATGATTTAGTTGCATTGGAAGTGCTGATTAACTTACTGCTAAATTGCAAATTTCCGACAACAAATTAAACGAGTTTAAAGCCAACAGGCTAGACATGAAATAAAAAAGTTTTAATGAATTTTAGAAATGCTACAATGGTACGGAGAGATTGTTTTTTTTTTTAGTATGTATGTATGTATTTTAGAAAGCCGCCTAAGCGAAACTTTTAGGGCTTATTTTTTTTTAATTTCTTTTAAATAGGTTTTTCTTGTTTTTTGTAAGACGCTTTTGTTTAGCGTATGTGTTATATGCAAGTCAACCATTTTTTTTTATTTGGATAGCTAAATTTTATTTCGGTGTAAGATTATAGAATTTTGTAAAGCAAAATTTACATATATAAATCATCTTTTATAGACTTCCTATTGGTATTCTTATTTACATTTACATAATTTCTATTTTATTTTGTTCGATACGATTTTCTTTTTCAATTGGAGTGGAGATGGTTACTACGGATGCTAATATGTACTTATGTATGTTTATTATTATTATTATTATACCGTATATGTATGTATGTATGCTTTTAACTTAAGTGTAACATTTTTAACAATTGAGATTTAGAGATGTAACCTTTTTCACTATTCGCTATATAATTTCAGATTTTCATGATTTTTTCTTTATTAAATTTTTGAATCGCTGATTAATGCCACATGAAATTTTATTATTTTGTTAGCGTAAAATTGGCTGCTAAGCAACTTCTTAAAAAAAGAAAACATATTACAGTTGCTTAAAAAAACTGAAAGTATATTTTTTTCGCTCATAAAAGTTTTTAGCAAATAACAAATTTTTTATAATTACTTCGTATATGCTATATGTGTGTATGTATATATTTGTAATTTCATCCATTTAAATTGCTACTTTAAGCTTAATTATGTATGTAGTTTGTTAAAATCAAAATATTGCATAACATTCGTTAAAATGATTTTTTCTCAGTGTATTTGCAGTGTTGTGGCATTGCTTAGAACGCGTAAATTTGATTGGTTTAGGGCGTGGCGTTGTGTTTAGTAGATTTATAGTTTTTTGTGCCACATTTTTTAATGATACCGTTAATTTTAATGTACATACATACATACGTATATGTATGCATGTAATTATTCACCAATGTGTTATAATTTTGAATTTAATGCCATTTCTAGCGCTGAGTTTATGTATGTTTAAATTTTTTATTTTGCCTAAAACTACTACTACATTTTTGTGTTATCAAGATTTCACTTTCTGATATTGCAATGTTACATCTGTCTGTGGCATGATCACATGATATTTTTATATTTATGTATGTATGTATATTAGACTGCATCACTCCCCATACAAAAAAAAAATCGGTGCTAGTTTTCCATTGGAATTATAAAATTTATTATATTTTAAGACGTCCACCAAAATATTTCGGAAAAATATTAAGATTTAAGTGAGCTGGACCGATTTGAAAATACCTCTAAAAATGGAATTTTATATGAATAAAAATAGTTTCTTAAAAATTTTTTTTGAAAAAATCCCCTCAAATGTCAAAACGGTTTTAGCTTAAAAAAATTGCATACAAATATTTAAAAAAAATTTGAATGGAATCGTAATAATGAGATTTTTAATGCTGTTTTTTAACTTTTTTCAAAGATTGGTATAAGAAAAACTTTAATAACACAATCTAAACTCTTCCGATTTAGACTTAAGAGGTGTCATTGGAAAGGTTTTTTCTCATCGTTTTTATTTCTTTGCTAATAAACTCATTCAAACGATGACAGAGAAAGGTAGGATGAAAGAATATTATTCAAAGTTGAATTAAGATGTGTTGGTATTTGAAAAATAAAAAATTGGGATACGAATGACTTTTTTTGGACAGAAGTAAAAACAGTGTGAAAATACCTATCCACTGAGATCCCTTAAGTCTAAATCAGAATAGTTTTGGCCCAGTTATTCAAGGTTTTCGTAAACCAATCTTTGAAAAAAGTAAAAAAACAGCTCCAAAAATCTCGTTCTTACGATTCCGTTGAAAAGATTTTTAAATATTTTTATGCAGATTTTTTAAGCTTAATCTTTTTTGTCATTTGAGGGGACTTTTTTCAAAAAGTTCTTTAAGAAACTATTTTTATTCATAAAAAACTCCATTTTTGGAGGTGTTTTCAAATCGGTCCAGCTCACTAAAATCTTAATATTTTTCCGAAATATTTAGGTGGACTTCTTAAAATATAACAAATTTTGCAATTCCGGTGGAAAAACTGCAACTTTTTTTGGTGATGCAGTCTAATGTATATATTTTTTCACTTCATTAAAATTACATATGCTTGTAAGCATGCTTAGTTAAAACTGGTATCTAATTTCCATAAACACATTTATTAGAGTTTCTAGAAAATAAATTTTATAACTCAAATGAAAAAAAACTCAGCACTCTAACTACAAACGTTTGTAATCGCTCCACGATCACTTAGAGAATATAAAATCAAAACTAAAATTTTTCACTTAAATTTCCTCCAAATTTCTGCTATATAAATTAGTTAAAGTTTTCTTTTTCTTTATAATTTTTGCTTACAAACTACTCACGCTAAGTTTAGAAAACATACGGTATATTTTGCTTAGGTTTTTTTATAATATAGATTCAAAAAATCTTTGCTTGCTCACTGGTTGCCTATTTAAGACTTTCACATTTCGCACAGTTGCCACACGAAAGTTCCCCTCCCTCTTCTCCTCTACCCTACGTCGCTTAACTCAACTCATTTCCCAGTTTCCACACTCTATCGCCTTTTGCGGCATTTCCTTCCCCTTCCTATGCATTTTTCCACTCTTTGAGTAATGTTTCGCGCTTACGCTGCATCGCATCGCCGTTGTTGATTCCTTCACAGATCATCTTCTGTTTTGGGTATGTCGAAAATTTCCGCAAACAGCGGTGGCAATCGCAGTTTAGTCCAATTCATTCGCAGCCAGTCTAAATGTGAAAAATGTTTGGCGCCCAACGAACGCAATTCGGGTATTTTAGCCTCCAGTGCCGGCATGAGTTGTAGCGCTTGTGTGGAACCGGCACGTGAACGCACCAACTGGACACGTAACGCTTCGGATACGCGTTCGCGCGATCTTGAAATCACTTTCGGTTCAGCGAGGCCGGAGCGATCGGAAGCGAGCAATACCATGGCAGAGAAGAGGCCAATTTCGGTATCGCTTAGGCCGTAACTGTTGAGAGTGTTGGCGAAATTCACCAGCGAGATGACAAAGTCATTCTGAAAATAAAAAGAAAGATTTGAATTAGTACATTGAAAAACTTAGTTTTTAAGAAAACTAGCAAATACCCAGCGTGCTTCACTGCGCCTTAAAAGTATTTTTATGTTTTTCGATACTCATATTGTATTAATTCATTTATTTTATCAATTTATTTTAATAAATTTTTTCTAAACAAATGGCAACGCCCCTCAAAAATATTTTCGGCAGTAAACTTTTCTAAATATCTTCAGTTTGATAGCCATATTGCAATATTCAATTTATCTTATTAATTTAAATAAAATTTCCAAACAGGTGGCAACTTTTCACAAAAAAGTTTTCGGATGTAAGTCTTCTCAAACCTCTTTCTTTTAACAGCCATATTGGAATATTTACTTTATTTTATCAATTTACTTAAACTGCAATTATCAAACAGGTGGCAACTCTCAATTTTTTATTTCTATATTTTAAGTTAGACTAATAGAAATACAACAGTGAAAACTGAATTCAATTCTATGCATTAGTTTTCAAGGGATGCGGGTACAAACATACAGACAGACTGACAAAAGGTGACAGGTAATAAGATCAACGGAAATAAGGTCAATGGACTTTATTTCCCACCCTGGTTATTACTTTTGGAAATGGGCGCGGTAGGTATACCAACCAAGGACCTCCATAGGATATTAACTACCAAAAAAACTCGATTTATAGAATAAGAATAACAAAACATTCTGAAACTAATTAGAGGAGGCCAGCTTACTCTTCCGGACCATAAGGAATATATATTCTGAATATTCTGTTTTTGGTCGAGTAAAAATGACGTTTCACATAACTAAATTGCTCACGAATTGTCTACACAAGACGAGGTCCCAGTGGCTAGATAGATAGATAGATTTGTTAGATTACATGTACACTGCGACCTTAGGTCTATTGTGCCCACACATGGCTCATCACAACTCTCCGTCCAGCCCTAGTGCTCTGATGAAACCGAGTAGTTTCGAGGGCGGTAGACAAATAATATGCGAAACCTCCGGCCACAACCTTCAAAGATGTGTCAGTCTTCTTCTCGCCATCGTATTAAATTCTAAGAAGATATGTCGAGAGATTTCTGGTACACTGTCGCTGCCGCACTATTCCCCCGGGTTTGCATATAGGCCAACGTTTTTCTGCTCTTATTTAACTCTTCCCTGATAGTATGCGTCTCGAATGCTATGAAGGCTTCTGCTCTTATAGGTCGAGCGGCTGCTGCTTTTATAGCTAGTCTGTCAGCCCGGGGCCCACAGTAGATGCACGGTGTTGTGTTCCCCCAGGGTGTTCTATCCTGTCATTCCCATACCACCCGTGATTTAATCTCACACGACGATATAGCTTTTAGTGCAGATTGACTGTCACTGTAGTAGACTATGGGCTATCTACTGAGATTGCCTCTGCGGAATAATTTCCGCACAAACACTAATGGCAAAAACCTCCGCTTGAATGATACCAGGGTAGTTCCTCAGTTTTGAGCCGTCTGTGAACCACCTGTGGGTATCAGCCTATGCAGGTGCACTCCAGTCGCCCTTACTGTATGGATAGAACCGCTACCACTCGGGGCATGCCACTGCTCCGTATGTAACTATTGGCCTGACAATCATTGTGCAGTAGTTAGGATGTTGCAAAATGTCGCAGATTGTTTTAAAATTTGCTAGTCGCTGTGAGAGGGGACAGTACAACCCCTCTCAGGGCAGCATTTTTCTGTCCTCAGTTGTATTATATTATTACCTGCTACAGTCTGGCTCTTAGAATGCAACCGATGCACTTTCGAATCGGAGTGGCTACATTTCTTTTATCTACAGCTCGATATACGCCTGGTGTGAGATGTTATCAAAGACGTTGTCAATGTCTAAAAACCCCCCGCGAGTACCCCAGTGGCTAACGGAATTCGAGGAGTTTCTTAAGTCGGCCATGCAATTATTCTTTTAGCGGCATCTCTTCAATGTTTAAAAACGGGTGTTTGGTTTGTTGTCCTTTTGACAAAGAAGTCTCAGTCGCACTCTGTCCAATTATAATCCAATTGGGGAGACTACGACTCAGTCCGTTTTTCATTTGTCTACTTTATGATGAGGTGGAAATTCCATGTTTTCTCACAATTTAAACAGTTGCAAAGGTTTGTTCACGACGCAATAAAAAGGATCAGTTCCTCGCATACGGTTAGTAATATTTTTTGAAATTTCCGTGATCGTATAAGGATGGAGCCAGATAGTAGTTGAAGTCACACTATTTGCTAACGTAAGATTACGTGATGTCAAGATTTGGGCTGCGTGCCCAGCATTGTATTTATCATCCGTTTAACTAAGCACTCTATTAGCATTTTGCGAGAAGAAACCCCGGTGTTCATATATCGTGATTGAGCTTGTATGTATTTCATAGTGACTGCGCGATGAATATAGCACCATTTTTAGGTTGTCTTTCGCCTGTGGTTTTAGATTGGGTTAAGTCAGGGTTAAGTTAGATGAAAGCATTTCAGGGAACGTGAACTTGTCGTGATATATTTACATGAAGTTCTGCAGGCAGTTCGCAGTTCCTTGGAAGTTTTAAGAAAATATGAGCTTAGGTATTTAAACTTTAGCCATACGAAAGCACAGCAGCTGAGAAGTAGTTCCACTTCGACATCCTCGCTTGGCTAGTTTAAGAAGCGCCTTTAATCACTAGGAGAACTTTGCAAGTCGGGGCTTTCGCGCAGCGCTCGCTAAGGAGACTCAAAACCCATTTCTATACTAGCAGTCCACAGGTTGGTACAGTTACTCTCTCTCTATATTCTCTGGTAAATCTATCAGCCATGTAATTTTTTCGATGTCCCTGTGCTCTAATATCCAATCAAGCTGCTTTGGAAGTAAACTGAGAGAGCAGCCACACATTTCCTGACCAGTTTCGATTATAGACATTTCTGATATCTTAGATTTACCCATATAATCTAATCCATTTGCGTGTTTTCTTTCATGAGCAAACTGCCACCAATAATGAACACAACTTGGACTTTCTCAGCTGGTAACAACTGTGGTCATCACCAGAAAAGGCGGTCTCATTCGAGGAGTTACCTTGATTTTCAATGGAAATTGCCTTTTCATGATGGGTCTCAAACCGCACGCACTATTTGGGGTTTTATGCGTAATTTATATCAAGAGTCGCTTGCTCCAAGACTGCCAGCCCTTTGTAGCCGCACCTTCTAGTGAAACAAGGCTACCGCATCCGAACATGGGTTGCTCACGTTATCCAGATTTCGTTAGCGCAGGTGCAGAGTTGAAATTCGTATACTTAGTTTCACAACTGTAACTGCATATCAAGAAGGACAACCTGTCACTCTTAGAAGTGCGTTTATGGGTCACCTAGACTTACGAAAGCCAGATTGGTTTCCGAGGCTTTGTCCTTTACATGCCTTAGAGGGACTCCGCCTCATCCTGGTGATTTAGAGTCAGCGATTCTGGCTTGAGTAGTTATTATCCTTAGCTCTCTATCTTCACTGTTCGCTGTGAATTCGCAGCCTGTTGTCAGCTGTCCATTTTCGTATCTCTGCAATTTCATAATTCCATTAGTAAGCCGGGCCTAAAAAGGTCTTGGTGATATGCGTGGGCTCCACAGCTGACGATAATTCGTTTCTATCCATTATTGTGAAGGCTGCCTATATATTTATGAAGATTTTTTGGGCAGAATAGGTTAGGTGAGTTAACTGCATTGCTTCGTATAGACAATTAAGGTCCATAGCATTACCAGATAAACTACCTTCATGTAGCCAGGTTTCATGAGACTAATGCCGACTTTCTCATCTTTCGTTCTGCATATTTTTCTTATAATTTTGAGATGTAACCGCCTAAGCGATTTTGGCCGAGTCCAACAAAGCCTGTCAGTCGTTCCTCTTCTATGCCAACTGATGCCAATTGGAAATGAAAAGTGAAGCCAATCTTCTCCACTTGGTCTCTTCATTAAAGTGGGGGCCTCCCCCTTCTTCTGCTACCACCAGCAGGTACAGAGCTGGAGCGTCGATGTCTAACCAAAGGACATGGCCAAGCCAGCGGAAGAATCGTCTGCAGTACTCGCTGTTGCTAATGCGGAAAGGCTCGTAAATCTTCCTCTCGAATACTCCACTCTACTGCCTCATCGGATGTTGTGATGTCCATGCTTCTGCGCCACATTACAGCACGGGCATGCTGAGTGACTTATAGAGTGTGGTTTTCATACTTCACGATGTAGGGAGACAGAGGTGGCGCAATCAGCAGTACCGCTACTTTGTTCTTGGCGAATTTGACAGAATCAGCTGTTCGTGTGACGTCATTTTAGCAAACTGTTTGTATGTATGCAGAGATGTTTATATGTATGTAAATATGGCGACCTCCAAGGTTTGACAGTTAACACTCTTTCTCTCCTCCATCTCCAATTATTCTTTCCTATTCGTTGCTATCTTGACGTCATCACCCGCAGGAATGCGCAATCTTGTATTCTATCATTCTTGTTCATACTTCGAGAGAGGACTTGACTCCTTAGTCCAATGTAGCACTTTTGGCAAGAGTGATTCTGCGTTGGATTTCGATGCTGACACTATTATCGGTGTTAACACTGGTTCTGAAACCCCTACAAGTCTTATCATTGGTCGGGGCCAGCTTGAAATGTCCTGTTAGAACACACACCAGGAGCTTAGTAGCCTCCTTCTTGAGGAAAAGGAGGAACTTCGTGAGCTTGGAGCGACATAAGTACTTGCATAAGCATAGTTTCCGGCAGAGTGCCTTATTTGGCAAGCCTGTCGGCCTCATCGTTGACCGAGATGCCACGGCCGGTATGTCCCGAGACTCAGTACAGATGTGCATCAGTGTAAGTATGTAGTAAATCCAGAGCTGCAATGCATTCCGTCACACTTCTTAAGGAAGTGCTGTGCGATAGTAGCGGCTCTATAGCAGCCTGACCGTCGATGGAATAATTAACTAGTTAAGTATTTCTTTTTTACTTACATCATACAGAATTTCGAGTTGTTGTCGTGTCAGATAAGTGCCATCATCGAATGTCAATGTTGCGTCATTTATCATGCGTGCCACATGGCTGAGCCACACCTCGAAGAAGCCCAATTTGATGAGTATCAGCTGGTCGTCTTGTGTGAAATCACAGAAGCCGGGCACACGTTTCGCGAATTCGACGATGCGTTGAACGCCGGGTGTAACGCGCGCCGCATACTGTTGCCACATCCAAATCTTCTGAAATTCCATTGTTTCCGATACTGAAGTGGCAATCTAAAAATGAAATTCGAAGAACAAAATTTTACAATTTAAATGTATGTAAATATATTTAGAAAAAAATTTAGAGTTTTTCTAAATACATATGTACATTAGAGTGGTCCAAAAAAATTAAGTTGGAATTTTAATGCCGGCACCCCCTAGGATTGTTCTATATCGAAAGAAATATACCACTATTTTTTTATTTTGAAATCAAAAGATATTTAGGGGTTGCTGAAAGCGCTCAAAGTTTTCCATGTATTTTATATGGAGAAAAAACCATTTTTCGTAGAAATGGTATAAAACTCTTAAAAATCAATATTTTTCAATCGGAAAACTGTGGTTCTCTTCAGGAGACTTCCAGTATTAATATCCAATTGTTTATTTAACCATTTTTTATGATTCAAGATTTTTCCATTGCATTTTCTAGGGGTTTTGGAGGACCTATAAAATATAGTTACTATGAAAAAATGGTTAAAAAGACAATTGCGTATTATTACTGGGAATCTCCTGAAGATAAGAAAAGTTTTCCGATCGAAAAATATTGGTTTTTAAGAGTTGTATACCATTTCTACGAAAAATGGTTTTTTCTCCATATAAAATACATGGAAAACTTTGAGCGCTTTGAGCACCCCCTAAATATTTTTTGATTTCAAAATAAAAAATAGGGGTATATTTCTTTCGATATAGAACAGTCCTAGGGGGTGCCGGCATTAAAAATCCGACCTTATTTTTTTTACATACATTTTTGGACCACATATTTACATATATACTTACTCCATTTTGCGGCACCGCCACTGGTCGCCGCATCAGTTCGCGTGTCTGCTCCTCCGTATATGAGCAGTGCATACGATGCGCCTGTGAGACGCACATAATCACATCATAAACGGACAGTTCAGCGGTTGTTCCTTGCATATCGACAACACCACAACCGCTATTATCAGCATTCGTAATGCCACCGCCACCAACTACATTCATACCGCTAACATTAACGTTAACATTGCCGCATTGTCCCATCATACTGCCAGCACCGCCGGCACCAACACTGACACTCATATTAACACCCACACCCATACCACCAACGCCACCCGGTCCGGGTGTGTTGGCTGTGTTAGCGACACTACTTTGGCCCGTACAGCCCAATTCCGAGGGTGACGAGGCGACTGAACACATTTGTGGCGTTTGCGGTGTATTCGGTGTACTCACACGCACAATGACATTCGGATCATCCGTAGACGAAGGTGTGCCATTTAGCTCACGTGAACGCTTCGGTACGCGACCATAACGAACAGCTGGAATGAGAAGAGTAGGGAAAAATTCAAAATTAGTAATACGCTTACATATGTATGTACTTATAGGCAGAAGTTGTTGTACATTTATGTTAAGAATTTAGTTCTAATAGGAAATTAAATGTTTTTGATTTGGTTTGGGTTTTAAAATCATTTATCAGTAAGTAAATTTCGATAACATCGATATAATATAATATTAGCAGCAATAGAGTTACGCACCAGGGACGGTAACGGTTATGATATTTATAATAAAAATTATAATTTAACCGTTATTTTATGATTTTCATTTTTTCGATCCAGAGCAATCGCTTTTTGGATTTTTATTTTTCCGATAAATTTTCAATCGTTACTTTTTACTTTTATTTTTTCGATCAAAAAAAAAATACATATATCCAATATTATGTATTTTGTTAAAAAAAATAAAAACAGCGATTAAATTTGACCGAAGAAATAAAAACCCCAATTCAACGGTTATTTTGGTTAAAAAATAAAAAATAATGATTTTGCCATGATCCAAAAATAAAAATTTTGAATTTATCGGTTATTTTCGGTCCCTACTACATATACATATGTTTACTTATTGATAAAGATAAGAAGATGATACATATATATGATAAGTATATTGATAATAGTAATTAGGGCTCGGAATCTCATGCAAAAGCGGTCATTAAGGCACTCTCTTCTACATCTGTTAGATTTCAATTAGTGGAGGACTGCAGGGGAGAGCTGGCGTATATCTCTATCTAATACAAAATTATGGGTCCCGGGACATAGGGAAATTTACGGAAACGGGGCAGCGGACGAACTAGCAATGTGCGGCACCGCACTGCATGTGTCCAACGCAAAAATTACCGAAATTTATCACTTGAAGGCCAAGCAGAGGTGTCCTACAACCCCCTTAAAACCAAAGCTTTCTTAGGAATTAGCAAAGAAGATACCTACAAACTTACTGCAGTGTACACAGGGTACTGGCCCGTTGGGGTACATGTCGAAAGGATGGGATTGCCCTTCAACAGGTTCTGTCGCAATTGCGATGGTCCTAGCTCTTCTGTGCGAGTGTCCTGCCCTCGAAAGGATGAGGCTTAAGACACTCGGCAAGCCATTCCTACATAATGTTTTAGAGTGCAGCTGCCTCTCTCTGTATGACGTACCGAAATTCCTTAAATCCGCCAAATGACTGTAGGTTGTACGGGTTGTGGAATTAAAATGGCAAACTTGCTAATTACTTGTCACCAAGTCACCAGTGACAATCCACTTAAATCAACCAACCATTCAACTGAACCACTATTAAACTATCAATGTTTCTATTTACACAAGATTGTAACTGTCTGCTTGATTATAAACTAATTTTATACATAATATGCTTTGTATTTTGAAGTAAAATGTTTTTAATTGCATATTTCACTTGTTTATAGCGCATATTTTCGATTTTCGAGCCCTAATAATAATTATACTAAATAAAGCGATAATGCCATTGCAAATGTATGTGTGCATGTATGTACCTATAATGTAGTCGATACATAAATATATGGATAATTATATTGTAAAATACATATTTGATATTTGATAAATATTAGTATTGATATCGTTAAGGAATTTAGGTAAAAGTGTGAAAAAGATCTCTTGTTGAAACGTCAGCAAAAGACCTAGTTCCTTCCCGATGAAAAATATGATAGATCTTACTGTCGATGTATCTATCTACTTGATCACCGATATTTTTGTTGATATAGTTAATCCATTGCTGTAAACAAGTTTATGCATATCCCTAATGGTATTATTATCGATATACAAATTTATCGATATCGTTTTCGATATCTATATTTATCGATATATTAGTACACGTAATAAGTGATAGATATATCAATATCGTTATCGTCATCGATTTTCGACCCATAAATACTTCCAAAAAGTGTTAAGAACATAATCTCAAATACATTGAAATATTGACAGAGGGATCTTTATGACTAATTTAAACAATAGTGATTGTATTCTTGTTGATACCTAGCATAAACACTCCTCTGATTAGTATACTTGTACATATGTACGTATAAGTGTTAATTCAACAATAGCATCCGATATCGTGAATTTTTACGCAAAGTGTTAATGTTACTTATAACATATAGCCCCTCTCTGGCATTCTTTTTCATGTAATTTTTTATTAAAACTAACCTTGTCCTCTTTTCTGTTCGCTATGTAATGTTTCATTGGTTTCGAAAATTTAAAAAAAAAATTGATTTTCCATTCGTCGCGCATGTGGTTTACGCATTAGTAAATATAGTAATCATGTTGGCTACTTATTCCAGATTAGCTAGCCTTGAAGTCGATGCGATTTATTGCAATTGCAGTTGTAAAATAATTCTGAATTGGAGTCTATGTTTGAAGTACATAAGTATATTAGCGTCTACGATCGACATTGCCGCCGAGCGTGCTCATATTTACACAACATACCTATGTTTGTATGTATGTATGTCAGTGGCGGATCCAGGCTGGTAGGGAGGGATTTGGGGGTTAAACTACGTGTCAGTCAGTGGCGGACCCACGGGGAGTATTTTAATATGGCGGATATGTATGTATAATATGGCGTCTATGTATTCAGACACCCCCCGTGGGTCCGCCACTGACTGACACGTAGTTTAACCCACAAAACTCCCCCGCTGGATCCGCCACTGATGTATGTCCATACATACGTAAGTAAAGTTAACGATGGATTTTGGACCCCTGTAGGGATAACACGAACTAGTGGACCAGATTTCTAGTTCAGTACTAGTTCTTTATTGCCAAAAACGAACCAGTCCGATAGTAACTAGTTCCGCACCAGTCCAAAAGCAGTGAAATGTGGTAATTTCACTAAACTATTCTATTTTAAATTTTAAAAGCAGGGAAGGTAATCATTATGAGTAAAATAATTTAAACAGCACTTAATCATTATTTTATGAATTATTATTGAGTTATATTTTTTCGCTCAAACGGAAATAATTATTATTGGATTTTTATTTTTGGGATTCCAAATAATGATTATTTTATGATTTTTATTTTTTCGCGCAGAGATTATCATTAATTTTCAGTTTTATTTTTCCACTTAAAAATAATGATGATTTATAAAACTGAAAAGGCCATAAAGACATCAAAAAAAAAATTTTTTTAAATTAAAACTGGCACTCTATGATACTGAAATTAAATGAGCTATAAAACTCCATATCTAAAATTTTTATAAAAAAAAAAATATTATTTTTGGTCAATACTTTTTTATACATTTTACTATGTAACATTTATTTACAGGAACAGGAGAATCGATTGTCTTGAAAATCGCTACTTTCTCTGCACTTTGTACTCAACTACTAAATATAAACAAAAAGGAAGTACAAAATCTGGCTCAAGAGATCTCTTCATTTCTCTGATTCTAACAGGCACAACACTTCAGCTGAAGAAGTTAAGTACAGCTCAGATACTCTAGAACCACACTCTAAAGAGTGCATGTAAAACTACTACTGAAAAGTGTCTATTTTTCAACTATAATCTGTGTGAATATACGCACAAGATGTTCAAGATTTGATTTTGAACATGAACTGTTTAAAATATACACACGAAATGTTTAAAATTGTAAAAATTTGGAACGTAGAAATGCATTTCTTACTACTATTAAACATTAAATGCTCATATTTACTCAATTTTAAACATTTTATGAGTAATTTTGCTATACGCGGTGTGTAAATTTGCACACATTAGGAGAGGAAACTGGTAACCTCTCTTAATACGCGTAAGTTTAAACCAAAATCTTTTAGAGTGTATCAGCCAAGCCAATTTTTAATGAAATACTTAAGTTGTTCAGCTCTCAATGCCATTGCTGAAAGAATTTTTAATACATACTCGCACAAATAAAAAAAAAAACACACGCGTGCAAAGGCAACCATTAGCTAATATAAATTAAAACATTTCTCATGTGATGACAATTTTTTATTTCTAGTTATAAATTTTTAGCAGTATTTTGGGTCGCGATTTTTAAATTTATCACATGTATATTAATTTATATAGTATATGTTAATAGATATGTATGTATGTACATATCGTCGTTTAAAGTACAAAACCGCCTATCGTCATTCTGCAAAACCGCGTAACTGACATTGGCTGCCAAAAATTGGATTTGCTCACACAAGCTCTTGGCTCAATCCTTATCCATTCGTCCTGAAATATACTAGCCAGAAATGCAATTGCTTTATAAAAAAGAGAACCATTTTGATATATGAGTGTTTTTACGCTCTAGAAAATAATTTCTACAAGTTCACATACGCGGTTTTGCATTTTGCTGATACGCGGTTTTGCACTTTAAACGACGATATATGTTATACACCCACTAATAAACACAAATATTTAAATGATTAAAAGTAAAACATAAGTGCGAATTCACAAAATTTGTTGCGCTATATTTATGTGCACAACACACTTAAAACATACGCAGCACATTAGGGTGTCGCTGGAATTATGAAATTGATTATATCTGAAGACTTCCGCCAAAATATGTCGGAAAAATCTTAAGTTTACGCGAAAATACCCCCCGTTTTTTTTAGAAATAACATTATTTTTAAACTTTTTTCACAAACATCACTTTAGATGATAAACGAGTTTTTACATTTTATCTACGGAATCAAAATAATGGTATTTTTGCAGGTGTTTCCAAATCGGTCCAGCGCACGTGAATCTTAGTATTATTTCCAAAATATTTGGCGGAGATATTAAAATATAGTTAATTGTATAATTTCGATGGAAAAACAGTGCCGATCTGTTTTTTTTTTTTTATATGAAGAGTGATGCACCCTTATGTACAAACAAACGTTTGTACATAAAAATGTGCGTGAATTTATTGTTGCTATTATTCCCCTTTAGATTTCATGAGTCAAGTGTATTCATTCATCGCTTTTTTTTATGTTGCTCAAGTGCTCGCTGCTGGGGACCACATACAATTGATACAGATATACATACATAAGTATTGGAAGAAGATGATAAAT